CTTCACCACATGGGCTGCTTCTAAGTGCTGCAAGCCACATTCAAGACTGTTATATCCAGTGGAACTTACTTATCATTGGCTTCTTCCTCTGTGACCAGTCAACCAAGGTATTGGACACGAGTTTCGCACTCTTTCAGAACAGCGGTAAATCTGTATTTGGAGAAAGGAACAAGCACAGAACAAGGCTACGTTGTCCCCTGTCCATTGAACGACTTGACTGGGGTTAAAGCAGCTTTTCTATCTTCATTTATCCATCTCCACCCATTTAGAGCAAGGTAACCTTCAGTTGGAGAGAAGCGAAGGTGGGGGAAAAATATCCATCACCGTCCTTCATTGGCCCATATTAAACCAGTAAAAACAGAACTACTTGTGAGGCAGAATAGGGATCAGCAGAGGGCAATACAATTGATTCCAGGTTATATACCGTATTTGCCGGCGTATAAGACGACTTTTTTGCCCTAAAAAACATGCCTCCAAGTGGGGGGGTCGTCTTATACGCCGGTAAATACATTGTCACTCGGTGCAAGAGCGACGGGGGCGGAGCTCCGCAACTTGCGAAGCCCCTTCAAGCCCAGCCGGAGTCTCTCTTCCTCCTCCTCCCACCCACCCACCCACCCTCCGCCCGGCTCGGGGCGCTTGCGGAGGCCAATCTGGAGGTGGGGTGGGGGTGGAGCGGGAGGGTCTCTGGCGGGGCCGCTTCGCCCAGCCAGCCCCGAGCCGCGTAATGGCCCGGGGAGTGGGGGGGGGAGAAGGTGGTGAGGGTGGACTGTGGCGCCCCTCCTTCTGGGCAGCGGGGCGGGGGGCGGCAATTTGCTCCTCCCGCTTCTCCCTCCCTCTTTGAAAGACCGGGAGGGCTGTGCTTGGGGCGGGGGGGGGTGTCCTCAGGAAGTTCCTGATGGGACCCCGCTGGGCAGGGCCACCCGGCTCCCGAGCTGCTTTCCAGGGTCCCCTTGGGAAGAAAAGGGTCCGGTGGGCGGTGGAAGAAGGCGGGCGCCCTCCTCCCGCCCCCTGTCCCGTCCCGTCCCTCCTCTTGTCCCCTCCTCCCCTCCCCGCTTAAGAGAGAAAGATCTGCCTCCCCTGCACCGGGCTTCCACCCGGCGCCGCGTCTCCCGGCCAGCGCGCGCTTGCGACTTGGGAACCGGCCAAGCGACTTTAAAACCGAGCGGAGGCCAGAGATAGCCGGAATTACCCTCCACACCACACACACACACACACACACACAGAGAGAGAGAGAGAGAGAGAGAGAGAGAGTTGGCAGCTGTCCATCCCCCACCCTTGGAGTCCCGATGGCACGCACGCGGGGGCTGTCACAAAGAAAGGGAGAGGAATTGAGTGCCAGCCTGAGAAAGGCGAAGCTGCCTCTCTAAAGCATTTTGGTGGCTTTGTAAGTTTGGGGGAAAGGGGTTGGGGGTGTCAATCAAGAATTATATCCAGAATACCCCAAGTGTTACAACTTACCGTATTTGCCGGCGTATGAGACGACTTTTTTGCCTTGAAAAGCATGCCTCCAAGTGGGGGGGTCGTCTTATACTGCGAGTATATAACAAAAACTATATTTTGAGTGGAAATGTTGGGGGCTCGTCTTATACGCCCAGTCGTCTTATACGCCGGCAAATACGGTACTTTTTTCCTGGATTGGATGGGTGTCATGCTTTAATGTGCTTTCTGACTGTGCCTTGTCTCCATTTAGAAAATTGGAAAAAGTACAGGGTGCTAGAAAAAGGTAGGTGAATACTACAGTTCAAGAGCGTTGCAAGCTCCAGTTGGTTCTGTGTGTTCACTTGGTTTATTTTTTATTGTGTTGTTGGGTTTATTTTGTCATGTTATTGCATAAAAACAGGATATGAATCTAAAAATAAATACAATATTGGGCCTGAAACCAGCATAGTGTGTATTTTGCACAGAAAAAAAAACAGCAAAACTGACATCTTACCCTTTCGTTCATCTTAACATACTTTTATTCCCGAGCAGAATAAACTTTAATAATAACAAAGATGCTAACATATTTTTAAAATATGTACATGTAATAAATGCTCTCTTCCTCTCAAGGCTAGCTCATTTTAACTTGTTAACATTTAAAAATGCTTGAAGTACTCTGTTAAATTAACATTATACATAAATAAATAAGCTTCCTCCTGAAGCAGAAGCATCTGTTATCTTATAACATTCTATAAAGATTAGTAATTTCTCGACATTGCTGACCCTATTTTTTACACAACTTCTTGAACTGTATTAAACTCGGGCACAGGCCAGATTCAAACTAGAAAAAATTCTGGAAAATGTCTCCAATTAAAAATCCTCTGAAATTAACTGTACAGTACAGACATCGTGCTGAGATCCTGCATTGTCAGGTCTTAGAAGATCACCCCATCTGCTTTGTAATCAATCGTTACTTCAATATTCAAGGATACGTTGGTCTGTTCTAAACACAATAAGGGCCTACTTACATTACTGAATTTTAATGTTCTAGGACAGTGGCCCCCAATCTTTTGGGCACCAGGGACCGGTACCATGGAGAGAGGTTTTCCGTGGACCAGAGGAGCGTGGTTTTATATGCTGCCTGCCTCCCGTGGAAGGGGCTTTGCTTGTTGGTGTGGCCCGATTTCTGGCATGCCATGGACCCATGCTGTTCCACGGACTGGGAGTTGGGGACCCCTGTTCTAAGATATTTTATCCAGCAATATTAAATAATATAGCCCAGAAATGATAGCCTTAGAGAACATACTCTACATAATTGCATGCACTGTAAACAATGCAGAACAGGAATGTACAAACTACAAGGGTAGAGAGGGAAATGGTTTAAGAAATGGTAACATGGAGCACCTAAACTGAGTTGACATTTGAGAGGTTGGTGGTAGATTATAAGGCTCTGTGTGCATACATTTTCAGGTCCAGTCTTGATCTGGGTCGCTAATTAAGGAAAGGAAAAAAGAAACCTTGCCCTTTAAGGAATAGGCAAAGTTCTTTCCTTTTGTGGATTCAAATTTCCCGGCTGGGAGAAATGCAAAATGATTTGGTCAGCTGTGTTGAAAGTCAGAATCAGTTTATTAATAGGAAGGCAGGTAAGAAATCTCACAGCGTTCCTAGGATTAATCTAATCTTGTGAGTAGAGAAACCTTTTTTATACTCTTCAGATCCTTTTATTTTGTAAGTGTGAACCCTTGAAGTCTTTGGTTTGTGTGTGTGTGTGATGGGTTCCTGTCTCTTGATATTGGGATCTCTTCCTGGGATCTTGGTAGGGGTAATTGTTTTATATTAGCCGTTTGTTCACTTTGTAGCTGCTTGTTGCATTAGGTTGCAATATCTTGAGTTTCCTGTTATATCTTTTGGTTTGCTTTTCACAAGTGTTTATAGCTTGCCATCTATTTGATTTCTATGGGAAAGGATCTTAGCTAGTTTGTAGGGTTTTTCTCTGTATCTCATGCCTGTAATTTTCTCCTTCCTTTGTTGTGAAAAGTAAGCTGGCTCCAGCTATTTTAATAGCCCTACTTGACAAAGGGTGGGGGCTGTTTTCCTAGAGGAGAGGGGAATCCCAACTTCCAACATCTTGGCATTTCTCTAGTGGAGAATCTATCAAATAAGTATTTGCAAGGGGGAGGAAGTTATGTTTTGTTTTTGTTGCTTCCAGCCTCAAATCATCTTGGAAAAGACAGATCAAAGAGTTCTCTCATTTTGAGAATTGTTTTGCTAAAAGTTTGAGAACAGTTATCTGGATAAAAAGACCTGATGGATGATTGTCAAGTGAAAATAACAGAGGAGGAGAGAAAATTCAGCTGTATAGAAATACCCGCCAAATGAATGGGGCAAGAAGGAATATCTGCAAAACAAATGGGGCTGAAGGCTGAAATAATCAAAGTGAAAAGTGCACAAAACAAAAAGGCTCTAAATAAGGGGATCAGATACGGCAGAAAAGACGATTTAATAGATAAAGGTCTGAAACAAAATCTTCAATCCTTATAGATTAGAATAAGCTGAGAATACCTGAAATAAAGCCCTAGTGCTGGAGATCCAAAGTAATCAACCCATGTATGAAAGTAGCAACTAGCAAAATAACTACAAGAAGAATGGACATAATCCAAAATATTATTTGCCAATCTGTTCAAAAACTGCAAAGAGTTGTTTTTACCATCAGCAATAAAAAATAAGCATGGTTTTAAAGGAGCAATCGCTAACAAGACTTGTTAAAGAAAACTCCAGCTACCTTTATTACTTGTTACATTGCAGCTGCTAGAAAAATGACATCCAGTGATCACACCTGTTAGCTGGATGATGGACAACTGATGATCAAAGAAAAACTTTGTTTAGGGACAAGGTGAAGGCTGTTCTTGCACCGTGTTGGACTTTCCCTGCACTATAAAGAAACGATTCTGTAAATTTGATGTAGTCCAATAATACTTAGCAACGTTAGCTATAAAATGCACAATCTTGAGATGTTCTTGTTTCTAAGCAATATTTTATGGTTAAAATTTACTAAGCATGCAATTTTATTTTTGTTCAAACTGCTAGCAGAACTACTAGCCCTTTATGTTTTTCTAATGCCAACCTTTAATAAAGGTCCTTTTCCCCCCTCCTTTCTGAATCTTTAAGCACAATATATTACAAGGTCTGTGCTTTTCCTTTCCGCTTCTCAATTCTTCTTAATCAACTTGTTCCGTTTTTCTATAAGCCACATTCTCAGAACTGAGGACATGCAGGGCTTCTCTTTTCTATATCAAATTTAATCAACCATTCTAGCTTCGTTCGATTGCTTCATTTGAACGACTCCTTCCTTTGTGTCATTTGAAGACTTTTAATTCTCCCTGGGCTTAGTCTGAAAATATCTGCTGTCAGATGTGTCATTCAAAAAGCTCTAAAATTTCCCTAAAAGAAAATTCTACTGTTTGTCCTGGGGGAAAAAAAACAAAACACCTCTGCTCAGTTTTTATGTTGAATTGGAATGCAAGTGTAATTCAACTGAAGAATGCAGAGTGTAACTTGGCAAACCATTCAACGGAAATGAAATGAAATGCAGCATTACAGACTGCCCTGAAATCATGATTCAGACTGTGAGTAAGTGTGCACTATAATAAAACCCTGCTCTTTTTCAGAGAACAGTCATCAACATAGTGCATTACTCATACATGACTGGTATTCAAACAGAATGTTAGTCAACAGGTTTTTTTTTTTTAAAAAAAGTTCGAACATAAATAAAAAAACCACAATATTTGTCCATTCATAGGAAAATAAAGCCATTCCTTTGCAACATTGTGCATCGATCCAAGGGTGTAAATATATCCTTATCTCCTTGCACCATAAAATGTCTTCCAATTTCAAGAATGCAGCATAGCTACAAATACTAATCCTTTCTGAAGCTTTTTTTTTTTTAAGACAACAAGAGACACTCCAGTAAGACTGCTATGGTAGCAGAAGCAATCAACAGGAGTTTGAAATCCCTGAAGTGCTATCTACAAGAACTCAATTAGTAACTGATGCAGCATATAAACAGTAGCCGTTCAGATGAGGAAAGAAAGGGGGTTGCAAGCCTTCAAACAGGAAGATAAAAGAGGAAAACTGATCACAGTGGACACTGTTTAACTAGGTGAAAGAAACTTCCCCTATGAATGTAACATGAGGATGCTATCAGGAATCTCACGCTAATGTCTTGGGAGCGGAAGACAACATTCAGCATTGCAGGAATAGATTTGCATTCAGGGAAGCGTTTCCCTGACCTTCCACAAGCCTATGAAAATAGCTATATCTTTCTAAGGAGCTCCAGTGGCAGGGGTTTTTGGCCTGGCAGAAATGGAGATGCAGTGGCAAAGGGGCATTGTTGGATATAATTCTTTTTGACAGGCTCAGAGTAAGCTCCCTTTGGAGTAGCATCTCTGCCTTTCGGTACAAGTCAGTTTGTATGGATTAGAATGCCCAACCCCACTCAGAAAGGTAATTCACCTCTTCCCCTGCGTGCAATCTTTTCACTGATGGCCATTCTAGAGAGCTCATCAAGGGAGAGTGCTAGCTGCCATTCTGATCTACTTTAGACATTTTGAACATCACAAGCTACTCGCCCATTCCTAGCTACAAAGTGTAGGCTCCACTTAAACAACTATTACCAGTTTCTCTCTGACACCCCATTGACTACCAAACCCAAGTGTTCCACTAAAATCAAATGATTGCCCCCAAATTATTTTACAATCCAAAAATGAATTAATTTTTTATAGGAATTCAAGGCTTACAGAGAACTAAACTTGGTCCCCCTGAAGGAAGGACAGAGATTTTATGAGTTGGGCTCTTGTGCAAGAATGTTTGAATCGAACCCTCCTGACCCTCGGAATTCATGCAACTCAGGATCTTTCTTCATCCTCTTGATAGTAGCTATCAATTACATCTGAATTAAAATAGACCACTGTAACAGTGATATCATCCCTATACATGCGTGCTAAGTCATCAGGAAGAGTCAACATTGCCATAAGCTTTTCCTGGTCTATCTCTCCATACTCATTGGCACCAATGGCATGTCTGATAAGGTGAGTCGCCACATTCCGGTCACAGGGCTGGGCAGTCCGGGCCTTCCTCCGAAGTAGGTCTTGCACATACCCCAGACTGGTTGGTTTCTTAAAAGTGAGCTGAGTTTTCTGGACATCATCTTTAACTGTATGGTTTGCAATGAGCTGGACCACCTCTTCGTTACTCAACATGTCCCACAGGCCATCAGAAGCAAGAACCAAGAACTTATCCTCCTGTCTGATTTTGTGGTAAGTGACCTCCGGCTCAGCTGTTAAATAAGGGGGCGTGTGATAACACGGAGGGACATACTCATAGATGTTTAAATCCTCCAGGTTGCAGTGGTTTTTAAGGATGCTCTGCTGCAGATCCTGACTCCACTTGAACATAACGTCTCCAAATGCTCTGGAAGGCATAAGGACGCCCAGCAACCTGTCGTTCATAAGGAGAGTGTTCCCTTCAGAAGTTGGGTGCTCACTTTTCAACCGCGAGATTTCTGACGCGTTGAAAGCATTGTGATCTCGGGTCAGAGGTAAAGCAGACCAGGTGCCATTGGGGTTCTGAGCTCCCAGGATCACCCTGCAGTCCCCAGCATTGGCAACATGCAAGTGAAGCTGATCGACATGAGCTAAGCAAGCCGTTGCGCCCGAGAAAGCCACCTGTAGAGCGATGTTCTTCAGGAGTTCGTTCTTGGCAGGTGCCTGAACTTCCAGCGATATGTCTGAATCCAGCCTTTTAAAAGCACCGATCAAAGCTTCTTCCATCGTCAGCCCAAGGTCTGTGTCCGAGTTCAGTAAGTCCTGCCAATAAACTCTGAGCTGCTCCAGGTACAGGGAGGCCACCTCGTGGAAGAAGCTGTCGTTGGGGTGTTTGTGCCACTGAAGAATAGGCAGGATTGGTTTCATAGATTCCATGGCCAACTCAATCTCCTCCAGGGTTTGCCGAGAGAGAAGAGAGACGGCAAGGTAAGAAAACAGCCTCTCGCTAACTGACTGAGCACAGGAGTAGCCAGCATGGCCATCAAAGACTCCAAACATCATCCCCCTTGTCTGCAAACAGGTTGCCGCGCTTCGGCGGTCTTCTATTGGCACGTTGGCTCCCAGGTGGTTGGACTCGAATTTCAACACCGAGCTGGGATTTTTCCCGTCAAATTCAGGGACGGTGTAGGATAACTCGCTCGCCCTGAGGACCTCATTGATCTGTGATGGCGTCAAATGGAAAGAGAAGTCTTCTTCCTCCGTGGAAGTATGTCGGAACGCTTTTCCCAGAGGGAAAACATGGGTGGCCTTGCAACTACAGCTTGCTGGGGACCAACCTGAACGACCTTTGGCAAACAGACTTTTCCATGCTTGATTTTGGGAGAGGACGTATCTGGAATAGAGGCGTCCTCTTCCAGGCAAGGTGGCAACAGCAGACCTTGAAATAATAACCCAGCTAGGCATAATGCTCACGATTCCTTAGGCTTCCAATCAGCACGTTCTGGAGAGTCTACAAGTAAAACAAAAACATAATTAAAGGAGAAAACAGGAAGATTGCACAAGGCTTGGACAACCTTGAACTACGCCGCCTACAGTTGGACTTAAGCGTAGTACACAAAATTATCCTCTACAATGTCCTACCAGTTAATGACTACTTCAGCTTCAACCACAACAATACAAGAGCACGCGACAGATATAAACTCAATGTAAACCACTCCAAACTTAATTGCAGAAAGTACGACTTCAGCAACAGAATGGTCAATGCCTGGAATGCACTACCTGACTCTGTTGTTACATCCTCTAACCCCCAAAACTTTAACCTTAAACTATCCACTGTTGACCTCACCCCATTCCTAAGACTTCTGTAAGGGGCAAACATAAGCGCACCATTGTGCCTACCGTCCCTGTCCTATTGTCCCCATTTATTCATACCTATTTCCTGTATTCATATTCATGTTTATACCTATTATCTTGTAAGCAATTGACAAATAAAATAAAATAAATAAATAAATAAAAATTTCTACAGCAATGGGTTGACAAAATTATTTTCTACCAAGAGGCTCCTGAAGATATAATCGCTTATGATTGTTCTCAATAATAATTTTGTCTGCCCAGGCAGCTTACAGACATCAATCTGGTAACATTCACATAGATGAAATTAAACAATATTTCTGGATTCTTAGCAGGGGTCAGCAGTAGGACATTTTCATAATTGCAATATCCCTTCTACTTGGAAACCGTTTCTGGACTTTGTGCTTGAGGTGAGAAAAAATGAAACCTTGATTTTGGGTTTTCCCAATCAGATAGTATTGCTGTTATAGAAATGGCTAGTATATATTATTATGTAAAAGTAAACAGTTGAGGTTCTGCGTTATTAACTTATTCTATTGTGCCAAAAAGAGTTGAAAAAGAGTTTTCTTTTTCTTTTCCCTTTTACTCTACACATTTTCCCCTTCTTGTCCCCCATTTCCCTATTATTTTCATTTTTCTTTGTATTTCTATATTTTACGTTATGAGTAATAAAATTTGTAATCTCCAAGATTTCATAACTGCAGCATTTTGAAGTAGCCTACACATCTTTACAAAATTCAGTAGTGGAAATCTTTCGAGACAGATTGCTAAATCTTGAGGCTTCAGGTTTTTCTTACATGATATCTGTAATGGTATGTTGGAATGACCTTGAAGAAAGCAGGAAGAGCCGCAGCCTAGACAATCATCATGTAAAAGGCATCTCAGTCCACAGAAAGAAAAGGGTGAGGGAAGCATCTCAAAGGGGATCTAACCTATTTTTCTGGAAAGTAAAAGTAAAAGAGGGTGAAAGTGCTTTCAAACTTGCAAGATTCTGTTACCGTAACTTTACAATAAAGGTAACAGCAGCTCATGGTTTATATTTCTTGTTTGGACTACCTGACTAACAATACTTTAAAGAGCCATGGTGGTGCAGTGGTTAAGTGCAGCATTGCAAGCTAATTCTGCTGACTGCCAGGGGTTCGATCCTCACCGGCTCAAGGTTGACTCAGCCTTCCATCCTTCTGAGGTTGGTAAAATGAGGAGCCAGACTGTTAGGGGCAACAGGCTGACTCTGCAAACCGCTTAGAGAGGGCGGTAAAGCACTGTAAAGCGGTATATAAGTCTGTGCTATTGCTATTTCAGGAATATGATAGGCGGAACATTATGACCTACAATGATTTTGAGGCTCTTTCAATTTTCCCTTTAAGTAGGAAACATAGAAGGCCATCATACATTGTGGTTGCCTATTGCATGAAAGGTCTGCTGATCTGTAGATCACCCACAACATAGGTAGATTTCAAAACTGCCAACTGTAGGCATTGCTGGAATGTGTGTAGATACCAAGATAGCAAAAACTATTTACTTAGTCCTCATCTCTTTTTACAGGACATATGATTTGCTCCTATGGGTTAATGTTTGTAAGTTTATGTCATCAGAATAGGGCAATGCAGTGGCTCAGCAGTTTAGTGGTTGGGCTTATCAGCTAGAAAGCTGGCAGCCCAGGTTCAAAAGCTGAGCACCATGTGATGGGGTGAGCTCCCTTCCTTGTCTCAGCTCCTGCCAACCTAGCAGTTTGAAAGTGTGCAAACGCAAGTAGATAAATAGGTACCATTTCAGTGGGAAGGTAATAGTGCTCTGTGACATCATGGTGGCCACATGATCACGGAAATGTCTTTGGACAGCGCTGGCTCAATGGCCTTCAACCGGAGATAAGCACTGGCCCCTATACTCAGCAACAACTAGCGGAGTAAAATCAATAGGGAAACTTATTTTAGTTCATCAGAACGCACTTTTTTTACAATTAAAGAAACTGCATTACCCAATACTTTGCAGGGTGTTTTTTTTTCTTCAAATGAAAGACTTCTGATCTGCTTCTCGGAATACAGCTATAAATGAATGAAAAGTTAGCCACCTCCCAGTCACATCTTGCAAAACTCTGATTTTTTTAAAAAAAAATCTATTTTGTAACAGCCCACAGGAGGAGTAAAAATTTGGTTTGAGCTTCAATGGCTGGCATAAAAGAAACTCAATAAATAAGGTAGCATCCCACATTGGCTGCCCATTTCTCTTTGGTTGCAATTTAATGCGCATTGTTTTGGGAGGAAATCAGACTTACTGATATCAGAGTACTTGTCTCTGCTCCGCAGTGAGCAAAAAACAACTTGAAATGTCTGGGACCATCCTTACCTTGATCAATGTTAACCCAAGAAAGAGTGTTCTATTATTGTAAAAGGTAAATGTTTCCCTGTCCAGTTGTGTTCGGGTCTAGGGCGCAGCGTTCATTTCCTTTTCATGGTCAAGGAAGCCAGCATTGCTTGAAGACAATTTCTGTGGTCATGTGTCTAGCATGGCTATATGTCAAGCACGCATGGAATGTGTTGCTTTCCCACTGAAGTGGTATCTATTGATCTACTTGCTGAGAAACTCAGCATCTTTAACTGCTGAGCCCAGTGTAGGTCTTCTTTATAACATAGAATCATAGATGTTTCTCCAGGGAAAAGAGTTATTTCTCTCCCACCCCAATGTGCTCCAACAGTTTAATTAGGGGAAACTCTTGAGTAACAGCTGAGCCTGGCTTTTGATGATCTCTGTTATTGAGAAAGGAAGAAAGGAGAAAGGAAAACAAAGTACAGGAGCATTTCCAAAGAAATCTCTGGAGATATACACACGCCTACACTCCGTTTACTTGTGCTCCTTTTATCAAAGCTTCCAAGTGATTTATTAACTTAAATCATTAGGAAATGTCGTATCTCAGTGGAGATAGGAGACCGGCTTTCCTACACAGAAGGTTTCAAATTTAAATCTTCATCCAAAGCTGGAGAATTGTTTTCCCAAAACTTTGAAGAGCCTTTTCTTATCGGGGGCTGATTCACACATTATCCTGACCTAGCCTTTATTTTGGTTGGTTCTATTTCAGTTAGTTCTGTGAACTATCACTGGTAAAGAACAGGTTAGAGTTTAGTATAATATGGGAGCCAAACCAAGTGAGTTTTTCTCAACAAGCATGATTTTAAAACCTTATGCAGGACTTATGCAAGAAGCACTTGTTAGGTGCAAGAAATCAGGAGCCAGGATAGAGTTCAAAGCACTGCAAGTTTATTTCATGATACCTATACACAAGAATCTTATCTACTAATGGTCAATGCAAATTGGCACCAGGTGAGAGTCAATGGATTTCAAGGGATGCTGGAATTCATTCTTCCAAGAGCGTAGAGACTCCAAACTGATGGTGCCTTGGGCTCAGCCTCGTCATCTCCTACAACACCATGCAAAATTGGGTTCAGGATTTGGAAGGACAAGACAGATTGATAGCTCTACTGTCCTGAATGAAGAGTACCGAGTTAAATTAGTAGATCCTTTCTCCATAGTAAATTGGAGTTGACTGTGATGGCCAACAAGAAAAAAAAGAAAAAAACTGGAAAAATTACACCGATACAGAAAGCTATGAAAAGAAAGGGGAAGCCAGAAATGATATCCCAACCCAGCCCGGTCCTTCCAGCAGGCAATTCTGCCAGGGTCCTACTAGAAGCTGGGGCTTCTAAAGAAGAGCTGGAATGCAGAGAATGTCAACGTGCAATCATTTTCAACAGCCATTCAAGGAAGCGTGGGAAAAGAGAGGCCAAGGAGTTTGAAGCAGGAAAGGCTAATAATGTTCTATATCATCTCTCCCTTTGCTCAGTGTGTGTCTTCCTTTCCTGAAAACAATAATTCCTACACCGTGCTTGTTTATGTAACTGGGGAAGCATACTGTCCACTTCTGCCAGCCCTTTGAGGTAGCTAGGATCAAGGAACAAACATGGCAAGAAATCCAGGAATATTTTATAGTTGTCTTGAAGGCTTGTTCTGAACTTTCACCGCTCCTCCTGAGGGACAACACAGCCTCTTTCTCATACTACTTTCCCAAGGCTGAGTAATTGTCTTCCGTCTTTCTGCTCAAAGTCAGAACTAAATTCCTTTAACCACTTCCTCTCATTTCAGGGGAATTTGACATCAGACGTGGGTTAGCCCAATTGGTAAATTCAACCCACAGGCTAAAACTGGGCTGGAGGAATCAAGATTTCAGATAAACTCAAGGCTGCTTCCAATTCCAGACTTAAACTGCCATGCCTTTCTCGCAGTTCGTGGTGTGCAAATCCACATTGGTAAATACCTGACTCATGAGATGTAGAAGTAATCCCCAATTTTAATTCTGCGACTCAAGGTAGCTTTGCCCAAACTTGATGCAAAATAGAAGGAGAAAAGCATGCAGCTTCCTTCACCTCCACCCAAGATCTGAAGGATCCCAGAAGAGAGAGGCAGGAAGGCAATAAACTGGCTCAACCAGATTCTTCTTTCTCCTGGGCCTCCCCCATAATCACAACAGCCACCAAGCTGTCCAAGCAACAATGATTCTGTTGTTCAGAGGTTGCTCTTTCAACAAGATTCATTGGGTTTTATTGACCATTATTTACGCGGCTTGCAAACTGCTTTGGGAGGATAGCTATCTAAATGGCAGGATAT